AGCAGATCCTTGAAAGATCATTGTTGAAAGAGGCATGAATGAGAAATGGGATGTATGGCACTTCCGAGCACATTAGGAAGATGATTAGGAAGGAAGATGATTAGGATTTCAAGGCAAACCAGCGTGCGACGGAATGCATGTAAAATGAGGGTCATCGCGCACTCATCTGCCCACAGGCCCCTTACCTCCATTTCCTGACGATCCTGTTCAGTATCTCTAGCCAAAATTCCACCGTGGACAGCTGGATGCAGAGTCTTCACACGCCCTCCAAGCATCTCGTTAAAGTTTGTTATCTCGGAGACTTCTCTGAAAAAAATCTGACAGTGTGAGTTTCAAAGAAAGACTTTTTTAGAAGTCCATTACTACAAATCGGTTCTTGTAAATCATCACGAAACGGGTGTTGATGGTGTCTCTTGCTTAGCCGCCATTTGTGATTATCGCAAGAAAACTGGCTTTCTGAGGTCAAAAAGAACAAACTTTTCAATGCGAGATAGAGTCAGGAGTATTTCTAAATTGTATCCATCCAATTGCATTTCGAAAAGGCGGGAAAGAAAACCACACTAGGATGTGAAAAGCTTGTACTCGAAAAAAATATCTCAAGTTTACGGTATTTAAATCACAATTGAAGAATACGTGGAAAATATTAATGAATAAAAAACGTTTCAATAACTCCGCTATTTCCAAGGTCATTTACTTGAGAACGCATTATCCCGTGCTTAGAACTTTACATTATTATCACAAAATCGACATTAAGATTTGTCGATTTTGAAGTGATTCCGATCACTTTATCTTAATTGAGCACCTTAGCCAAAAAGAATTTTTTTCTAAAATTCATTAAAAGTATAATCTTGAATTACTTTGCCTAACGAGCAAGTTCCATATTTGAACTTCTTCTATACACTACGTCATCTAGTGAGCAATACAACAATTTAAAAGGCTATCAAAAACTGCGCTTACTTTAGGAATATGCGTATTTAGTACTTAAGGTTTCATTGAATTTCAACACATCTTATACAAACATCTTCAATAGAAAGACCCAAAACTAAAACTCAGCTTGTATCGCTTATCGTGCAACTGAGTAGAGACAATCCTCACTACCTATCATGTGCTACCTTTCAAATACATCTATCCTAACTGCTCTAGTCTTAAAATGGATGCTTTCTTGGATTTGGCAACGGCTGAATGGATGCTACTTCAGGTTTGACATCTTAATCATATTCCTCAGTGCAAGTGAACTGGTTTTTTAAACTGTTTATACAAATAATGACATGCCTATTTAAGTAATAAAACTCTCGAATCAGTTATTTCATAAATCTGGTCTTTCATATTTGGCACTTTCGTCTGGAGTGGAATCAGTTGTGAAAAGTAGGAACATGAATATATAACATCTTTGGTTTTTTTGCTAAACAAGGAATTTCTGTGATTTGAAGATATCATTAGGGGCTTCAGAAGGATTCTTCGGCAAACTTCGCCTGCAAATCATTAGAAACAATGTGGACGAGGGAATGGGATATTTTTTGATAATTTTCTACTTATTCAAATAACTCTTTATAATCAGTGCCGCGAACGCAATCGGCTATGCTTTGCCCCTCCCTATGGTTACTGTTGCGTTAAAGAATGCAGGATTAGGATGCTAATTCAGAGTTCACGGATTCGTGGGACTTAGGAGCAGAAATCCAAGATCTGTAGGGTTTCGAAAATTTCTGTTTGCTGATTATATTTATTCAGTGGTTAGTAATGAGAAGGAACTGCGACTACTAGACAAGGTAGTTCTTAATTTCTACGTACTTTAAGCTGAGTTGCATATATGGACAATTGGCTTCCATATTTTAAAGCCAGCGCCATCCCTGGCCAACATTGCAAACAGAAAAGCATGAATTCTACTTGTACATAGAATGTTTGCTTGTTCTCATTTCACATTTTCCTTTGTATTCTTTATTTGAAAATATTCAGCAAAAGATGTAAGCATCCATCTGTAAAATTTATTCTCTGTACTTGCGCTAAGCTTACGCTCAAAAAGGAGAGAAGCATCTGTGTGTGAGCTAAAAAATAAGTCTTCAAAATTAAATGGTAGTTCAGCGTTGTAGTAAGTATACCCTAGAGCATAATCTTGAAGCCATGTGTACGGTTGAAAGTGTGTTCCAAAATCTTTATTTAGCTTTTTGTTCCCTTTATTCAATCACAGAATGCAGATGATACCAGAAGATGTTGAATAAATTGAGAAATGCACTACTTTTCATACTGCATTATTATAGCGCAGGAGGCTTAATTTACCAAAGCATATGCAAGTACTGAGAAAATTCCGCAGAATGTTTGGATTTCTAGGAAATCGGAATTTCAAACCTATCTTGGGCTTCCAGCTCAAAGTTTGTTTATGGAGATCAAGCAATATGCATTTTGAATGTAGCTTAAGCGTTAGAATGCGTGATATCGTTGACTTACCTTACATCTAGTCCATTCTTACGAAGAACCGCAGCAGTTCCACCTGAGGCAACTAGAGTCAAACCAGCATGCTGAAGTGCTTTCGCCAACTCGCAGATATG